GCCGTGCGACTTGTACGATAGCCACATTTCTGTTTCCTCCCTCAAAAATCCCACTGCGACAATTTTTTGTCAGGATTTTTGTAACAGAATTTTTGTTACCCTTGAAAATCCAAAATTTTATGGTTGGCGTAAATGAGTCTCAATATCCTCAAGCTTCATTTGCATTTTTCATGAGCCATTTGTGTCTGCTGAGGTTTGCTGTTGTCGTCGGCATCCGCTAATAAAATCTTATAAGTTAAATTCATTTGTGTGCCGGATTTTCAAGTTCTCACAAAACTTTTTTGCCCATTATTATTGTTGTCTTTTGTTTTTCCTGCATTCTTTGAAATGAGAAAGAAAATCAAAAAAAAAATGTCAAAATTTCTTACTTGTGAAAAAATAGAGGTACTCGGTAATCTGATTGGCATAACACAATGCTGGTAGTAGCCACCCAGTGACAACGCTGACGATAATAACTTCCGAATGTTCTGCTGAGGCGTGCCAACAAGTTTTTGAGAAGTAAAAAGTAAAAACTTTAGTAGAAACTAATAGAATAAGAAATAGGGTATATTAACAGCCGATGAAAGAAGAAGTAAAACAAGGTTGGAGATGAGAATTACAAAATTTGTAAATTATAAGTATTATTTTAATGGTAAGAAATATTTCGGGCCATTAAGTCGTATACGTTTCTTATCATTACTACGATTGGCCCTCGTCAGTACGACAATTGTGGTAATACTATCGAAATAAATTTTATAGTATATTGGAAAAAAAAATATGTTCTTAGAATCATATATCTGGTAAGCTTACTGATTAATGTAAGCATGGTAATTGAGGATGGAAAAAAGCACCCGCAACTTATATCATTATTATCATTATTTTTGTTATCACTGCTATTATTATTATCACTATTATTACAATCGTTATTACTATTATTACCACTATTATAATTACTATTATCATTGTTATTATTGTCACTATTAAATTAAATGCTCGTTCCATTTTCTTTTGCAATTAACATTTTCGAGAACTTAACCCTAAGGCTATTTTTTGTTCAACATGAAGAATAAAAATATTCATTACTACATCGAAACAATAATACCAATACGACTTTATACGAGAATCCCACTTTTGTGATATTGCGGTGGCAGGCGCTTCGATCCTGAGCTGCATACTTCTGGCTAGTGCTTACCACTTTTTCAATGCGTGTTTGCTACATTTTCAAAAACCCCTTTTCCCCTGACCATTTACATTTCCTAATTTTCAACACAGCGAACGATATGCCCTGTCCACCGGATTTTATGGTATCTTGTGATAAATGATTTAAAAAATCTTGTCATATAACTAGATGTGGAGCTAGAAATTTCTCAGAACTGCCTCTTTTTCGAAAACTTTGCTATTCCTTCAGATACTTATGTCTACCATACTTTGTGCCTTCAGGATTGCCGAGAATGGCGTCAGATTATCGAAGAGCAGCGCTTACCAAGCCCTGGTGATCCGGAAAGTCGTAATCGTATTGGCGCGGATGCAAAGTTTCGGGCCCGATCTCAAAAGGAACCACCGGCATAGTTGGTTTTTTCGAATCTTTATTCCCCTGAGCAGTAGTGAGATCTATCTAAATGATCAGATCAGGAAACAGGAAGAATTTTCTTTGGCATGTCCACACTGCTGTCTTGCCAGAGGGTCTAAGGTTCGTTTCCACTGGGTTCCCTACGATTCGTAATTCACTTCCATGGTAAATTGGTGTGTCAAGGAGTTAAACCTGCCATCAGCTTGCTTGTAAGCAACCCTCGAAAGAGGGAGCCACCGACGGCCTAGACAACTGATGGTTGCTGTTGGCATTAGCAACCACTCTGGTTACTTCTCGAGTGCTTCCATTCTTCACAGGGTACGAATACGCGGGGAATTTTGACATTTTGATGTTGGATATATAGCATCGCTTACACGTTCAAAATCCGTATACTAATTTGTAGAGCTCAATAATTTTCAGCTCATCACCGTCATTGGGAAAGAATTCTAAGCACTCGCTGAAATCGAATGCAACACATCTGAATAAATCTGGAATCCAGGCCCCTAGCTCAAGTGCCGAAAACTCGTCCCCGGCTGACGATTTGCCCAGAAGGTCTGTGGAGAACAGAGGGCCCACCGATCCAAACTCAAATCAAACTCAGCAGGTTCTCGCTGTTTTGCTTTGCTAGTCAGAATTTTAGCAAAAAAGCTTTATTTAAAAATCCCGATTCAGCTTGAGCATTCATACTCCCCCTTGAATCTGTGTTAGACATGTCTGACATAATTCATAGTTATCTTTATATCACTAGAAGGGGCAAAAGCAGTAATACCTGAAATCTTTTGGCTTTATCAAATTAAAGTGGTCATAAGTTAGGTGCGAGATTTTTTACAAAAGGTTAATTAGCTTTTTTGGGAAAATTATTTAGAAGAAAATTTAATGGGAATTTTCTTTAAACAAAAAATAATTAGTGCAGTAAGTATGGGAACAGAATTCTTTATGAGAAAGTAAAAAACGCAAGTAAACAAGGAAGAAATGTTTCGGTCCATAAGCAAATGTGCTTAGAAGTTCAGTGCTATTAATCAAAATTTTTATCTTAATTGTCGACCTTATTGGTAGTATTATGCCGGTAAACCTGATATTTGTCTTTTCCACATAAAAATACAGCAACCAGAGGGCAACTACACAACACTGCAACACTTGTCATTGCTATCAGTATTATGAGAAGAGAAACTAAGGGCCTTTTTGAATTTCATACCTCATACCTGAATCCACTGATAGTTGTGTGTTTAAAATGCAAAAATTGCATTTAAATACACTTATTTTCAGCTAATCGAACAAAATGCTGATAAGACGAACAGTAAAGTGGCATCAAAAACGGAAGAGCCATTGCTGTCGGTCAGTGGAAAGCATCGATGTTCACACTGCCATCTCGAGCTCGGTCGGTTTGATTTTTCGTTTTCGAAACTTTTGCGCCTTTTCATATAAGCACTGTATCATGATTGTCGCAGCACGTTTAATATATGTGTATCTTCCCAGTAATTCAACTTAGGTGCTGTCTAAAATGGGGAAATAAAATTTTGCGAACAAAATCTACTTGAAATTACTGTAGTTTTTGGATGCGCGCCAAAAGTTGGCTTAGAAGCTTAAACTAAGGGAAGCAAAAATAACTGAAAAGCAAAATTTTTACAGAGTAAAACACAGAAGTGGAAGGAAGGCGAGAAAGAAGAGTGAATAACCAAAAATTGGTCATGTCCTTGGCACAGACTCAAATTCATATCCGGGCTCAGATCATAATTCATAAATTAAACAAGCCATTTATTTGAGATGTTTAAATTGAACTCACTATGGTAAACTGCTGAAGCTCGGCTCGGCTGCGTAACATACATGCAAAATACACTTGTTTGTGGGTTTAGTAGGATTAATGAGGCAGCTAGTGAAGGTCATGGGCAATTTTACCCAAAGCACTGTATAATGTAGATTTTGGGGTGATAAGTGGAAAAGAGAGGAGGTATGGTGTTGCTTTGAGGTGCGGCAATTTGGGGAATAGGCTCATGTCGATCCTCAGTGTGCCATGTAATTTCCGCTCAGCAAAACTAATTAGTGTGCGTTTTTGCATCTTTAGGCAAATGCAAAAACGCATATTGTCGACAGGCAATCGAGGCGCATGGATTTTCGTCACCCACATTCAACTCAGCAACAACAGAAACTAGGTTTTCAAAAAAAATGTCAAAGACCATTTTACCTCAAAAATTAGGTTCTAAAAACGAAAAACACTGCAAAATTTGCACGAATTGATATGTCTGTCAGGCGATGTCAATTTCTGAAAACGTCTTTGCAGTGTGCGTTGCTACTGTAACAACAGCTCTGCGAGTATTCATTTCTAAGCCAGCTGGCAAGCTGTGTCTACTGTGCTGCATATGTTGAGCTAATGCTTAAAAATCCGCTTTTTTATGCTCGAAAATGCTTTTGCCTCAAAAATAAGCTGATCCTTCTTCGGATCCAGGGGCTACTGTCTTCAACACGGCATTTGTGCGCGAATATAATGTGCTGTCTTGCACCGTGCAGTTGTTTTTTAATGCACTTTTTGATTTGCACATTCCCTTTGCTTCCACTTTTAAAGGCGCGAGCTTTTAGCGGATTGTGAGTGTGCTGTACACTTTTAATTGCCTATCCATGTGCTTATCTATTTTTTCCAAGCGCACTGCATGCCAAACGCTTTATCCTCTGTTATTGCTGCTATCAGATGCGCACTGTTACGTATAAGGTTTGTTCAGTTTTGCGTTATCAGCTTTTTGCATTACTAAAAGTGTAAGATAAACGTGGGTATGATAAAAAATATTGGGTATGGATAAGGATGAGAATAAAAGAAAATATAATAAGAAAGGAAGAAATGAGAAAGTAAAAAGTAAAAAAGGAGAAAAGGACGATAAAAAATGAAAAGCTGAAAAAAGAGGAAAATGGAGGGGCAAAAGTAAAAAATAAAAAAAAAATTAAAAAGGTAGGACTGATTTTTTTATTTTTCTGAACTCCTTGACCAGAAAAGTCTAAAAATCAATCCTTCCCATGTATTCACTCCCTATGAGTGTTAGAAGTACTTGAAATATTTTCGACGGTTGCAACTGCCAGTGGATATTGAAATCAAACTTGTCAATGTCAAATAGCCAGTCAGTATCGATCCATTAGCATGACGAGGTATGTGGAGAGATTAGTTTCCACACTGCAAAAATGTAACCGTTTATTAAAACACTATCCCGTGAGCACTATCGATTTTTCCTCAAATAAACATGCAATATATGATTTTTGTTGCGATAGCAACGCCATAAAAGAACCACAGTTTTTTGGGTCTGAACAACTTATTTGCAGAGCAAAACACTTTGTTGTTCTAGCAATTACAAGGTATGCTTATACACAGGCTAACAAGCTTTGTAACCAAATCTAGATTGGATAATTTTATAAGTTACGCAAAAACACTGGATTAACAACAGCTCATGATACAGGCCGTGGTGCTGCGATGATCATTGAATCGCTGAATCTGTTCTATCACCTCAGCTGCTTCCGGTGCTATGTGTGCAGAATTGCTCTCGGCAATGGTACACGTGGTACCGACGTTCGAGTGCGCGACTCGAAGCTTCATTGTCAGAGTTGCTACAACAGTGGTGAAACTGGTCATAAACAGAGTAAAGTTTAAGTAAAATTTTTGTAATTCTGAAAAAATTTTGGCTACTTTTTTCTCCAAAACATCTCGTTTTTGATGTTTTTCTTGCATCTGTGGCAAACTGGCTTCATCGACAATCACTGACTTTTGTGTCAATGAAAGATTTTGATTTGAAGTAATGTGAAGTGTTTGAAAGTGTCTTATGTAACTCATATTTCTAAGGATTTTTCAGAATTTGGTTAACTTTGCGTTTTTGTGAACTGAACGGATTTAGACTAATTTTGTCTGCGTAGTGCCTTCTGAGTTAGCTTCGAAAAGTCAATAATCTAACCGTCCGGTCAATCGACCATCAGTGGTTCTGACCATTTCTGTTGTGCTTCGGCGATTACTGACTGCTTGCTCAATTAATAATTATCCATTTAATTAAGTACTAATGTTCGCAACCAGTTTTTTTTATGTTTTATCATCGGTCATACTCTACGGTCATGCTTATTGCTGGCGAACATGGTACAGTGGCAGGCGATACTCCTACGCTGAAAGTCGAAGGTTCAATCTCGCCAGATGCCTCACGATTGTTTTATTCGTTTCAGTGGTAAATTGGTACTGGCGTATATTGGGTTGTCGAGGGAGCCATTAGCTTTGCTTATAAGTGTTATAGTAATTTTAGGGATATAAGCGGTGAATATCCGCGACCAGGAGCTTGGAAGAGGGTGAACGGCTTTAAATCGTTAATGTGTTAACACATGCAGTTTATTTAGCGTCGCTGGCCCACCGTGGAGAGAAACACGCTTGAATTTTGATAATTTAATGAAAACACTCGGAAATGGCACTTGGATCTTCCATATTGACAAGCTTATATATGCCGTGGTTTGGTATCCTGTCCTATTTCACCTCAGAGCTGTAAACAAATACAGAAGAATCGTTCGAAATGGGGTAGGAATTATCAATACAGTGCCCTAACGTTCTCTAGAGAATTTGCTTCCGTGGTTCCTGTGATAATTGTTTTTCCCGCCAAAACTTTTGCACGGTCGTACGTGTTACCTACGGATAAGGGAAGGCTGAATTTAAATTTGCGGGGTCACATTTGGGCAGGAAACATCCCTCTAAATTTTCAGTTTCTTTGCTTTTGTGGTTTTCGAGTTTAAGCTTGCGGACATACACACACAGTGTTGCAATCGTGTATACTACCAATAGGGCTATTTTCGACTGTTTCTTCCTCTGATAGAAGCTATATTAGGGGTTTTCAATTTGATTTGATACTGCGCTTGCTATATGTTTTGCTTTTGCCTTAACTTATGTTATTTCCTCACTTTATCGCCTCAAATATTCATTTATTTTGTTACGTTCCATTTTTCTAGTAAGCACTCCAGTTTCTAGTATTTATTTTATTTTCTGCATATTGCTAAAATGATTTATGGCCTATTGTCACGCTGTAAAAGTTTCGTTTACATGTGGCTCGAAAACATATGCTGGACGATGCAATCCGATTAGATTTATGGGCTTTTTACACATTCCGCCGAAAATGGCTTGTCTGTCAGACAGTTTTAACACATTAGGGCTGCTGCTTAAACAACAGTCAAAAGATGGAATAATTGAAAAGCACATTAGAAATGAAACTGACAAAAATCCTTCCGGCGATAAAAGCCTTAGCCAGCATTTAAGAGGTTCCTTCCCTGTGAGGTGTAAATTGAGGAACAGCAGTTTCGAGCCTCATTTTTGCCTTTTTTTTTCGAGAATTTGATGGATATTCGGGAAACATTTCTCATGAAAATGTTTGAATTTCAAAGATATAAACATGTGCAATTGGTCTCTCGATCCTTCAACTATTTTTCTGGTACTTACATTATAAATAAAGAATTACCACGTTGGCTTTTTGCTCCCCTACATTTTTATGCGTTTTTGCTGTGCAGCGCTATAGCGCTGCTACAGCCAGCAAAAACGCATATT